AGTTGTAGGAAATCTCCAACAAAAATTATGTTCATGTTTGCAAAAGGTACAGTGTCATCTTGAAAATTTTTTGCTTCGTTAATGCACGCATGCAGTCGCATTATAAGTTTTTGTCCCATCATTGAAACTTCATCTATGATGAGATACTCTATATTCGTCCAACATTCCTGGAGTGTTTTTTTTGATATTCCTTGAGAAAATTTATATTTATAATCATTAGCATCATCATCAAACCCAAATCCACACAGAGAATGAAGAGTACAACTGCCGATATTTGAAGCGGCAACACCAGTCGGCGCACAAATGGCAAGAGAATGATTTTGATCTATTAGATCGAAGTATTCTTTAATAGCCTCGATATATTGGGATTACCGGGGTAGGTTTGTTCGCAGTGATTACAGACAAGCATGAAAGCCTTTTTTGTTCATTGTTCAGATTAGCTGAAATTTTTTGAATTTTGGATTGCAGAATAGTTGGGTTTTTTTATTAGATGTATAAGTACAAGGTTTCGAGTAATGGTTTTCTTCAGAACTTATATTTGTATCTATTTGTTCCATTTTTTTTCTCGATGCTATTGTTTTTTGCCATATTTTAATTAAGTTACTATCATTTTCACAAGAAGGTCGTATATGTTCTTACATCATCATAATTCATAGTATCAAATTTTCTTTGAAAGTTCAGTTGTCCTTCTTTCTTATCATTAAACTTGTCTTTTAAATATAAATGAAGCATGGCGTCATCAACAAATTTTGTATTATGTAGTCCAGAACGTATGATTTCATATGGATTTAACAAAACTAAGTTATCAGTACCGAAATTATCTTGGTTATCCAGTATTTTGCATCACCAGTATTGTCATAACCCGGCACAGATCTTTCTATTCGTTGGATTTTGGCAATCTCCGGGTTTTTGTAGGCTATTTGGCGTAATTAACGATCTAAAATAGTATCTTCCATGCATCGATGTAATAGTTCAATGTTATCAATTACAAATCGTAACCATGCGGATAAGTCTGGGCTTTGTAAGAAAGCGTCACAGGCATCACGCATGAGATTGTTAGTCTAACTTTTAATGCGCGATACCTGATTCAGTAATTTATTTTCTCATGGTCGTCGCTTAATTGCTGATCTTGATTGATCCGATTTCTATTTCTGCATTATTGATTTTGATCTACCTGTACTTAGCACAATAGAAAAACGCTCGTAAAATCGGCTTAGTCTGGATCTTGACTTGCCAGTATCGGTATTCTATCTTAGTCGGGGTTATGGTTGTCTGGATTATGTATTGTTGGGATTTTGGATTATATCATTATTTACTCAATAATTATCAAAATTACAAAACGTCGTTTAGCAAAGATATGTGTAATTGCTCAGCCAACTTTTTACCAGATGTCCCAAAATTTATGTGAACTGTAAAGGGTCTGGGTCAAATCTGACCGGGGTAAAATCGCCACCCAAAAAAATTTC